GTAAGGATCCCCGCTTGAAGTGCTTAGAGGCCTATAGGCCTCAGCCTCGTCTTCCCAGCACCAGGAGACCGAGGAGAGCCCCATGTGGCAACGCAAGGACGAGAAGAAAAAGGGCTTAAAGGGCTTCAGAATGAGGGTTTCAGAGGCTGGGGATCTTGAGTTTACATCGACGTGCTTCGCATCTTCCATGCTGGACCGCAAAAGCCTGTAGAGCCCTCAATGCAGCCACTAGCAGCAAGCGGCATTCTAGGGCGTAGTATGGCCTCTTTAGTAGCCGGCTGTCTAAAGCAGGTCGGGCGAGAAGTAGTTGGGTCAGGCCATGCGGAGAAGCAGGGACGAAAGAATCGGATGCGCAGGATAGGCGAGACTGGCCGCATACTCTAATGCTTTTCAAGCTAGGGCTCCGAAGCGATGCCGACGTGCACCCCAAACGCAGGATTCCATCCTTTCACAGGGCGATGTCGACTTGCTTTGCCACTTGGGCAGCTACAGGTTCAGAAGTCTTTCCCCTTTCTGTTCTCTTTACATGTGCGTGGCTGAGCCACATTTATAGTGCAGACGCTTTTGGTGACAATAGGACGGGTCTCGGCCCTAGGCGCATCTCAGCACGCAAACTGAAAGAAAATGCATTCGGACGCAGGTGGCACGACCGACCCCCTTGGCTGATCTAACAAGACTTCAGTTGGTTTTGACGGAGGAGCATGACCATCAGAAGGTTTCTGTCTCTTCGAGAATACAGCCTGCGGTAGCTGAGCTACCCAGCACATCAGCGCCGAGCTTACTTGTGGACAATCTGCTCGTTCACTGATCAGAAACTGAAAGGAGCCGTCCTCCCAGTTGAATGTCCATGCGAACTGCCGCACATGCTTCTGGAACTCTTTTCAATTATTTTTCAACCCACCAGCAATTCCTGCTTCCTTGAACAGCCTGCGCATCTTTTGCTAGCATGCTCTACGCCGGCAGGTCCTACTTTCGTTGGGAGCCTTCTCACGCTGAGGTACATGCACGAACCCTCAGTCACGTGCGCCCCAGCAACTTGAGTCCCGATTCCCAACCTTGTTCTAGGTCGCTCTAAGTCCTGCACTCTTGGAGAACTCAAAAGTGTTGTTTGTCCATGAGCTCTGAGGTGAGATGCCCTACGGCTAGTGAGTGCCGATTCGGGCGTGAGCTCTATGATGTTAGGGTGTTGAGCTTCGGGTCCAGTTTTTAGGATGTTTTTGGCATCAGGGTGGGCGAAAAGGCAGCTACTTAGACATTCCATGGTCCCGCATCATAGACCTGGGTCCTGGTAGTGCTTAGTAATTCTGTTCCCAGGGCGATCTGCATCTTTGCCGGAGTCACATCTGTTACTCGCTCATGGGATGACAACTTCATACGTGGGCCATGAGGGGATATCATGACGAATTGCTCGGACCCAGAGCCCTTGCGCGCTGTTGGGATTTGTTTTGGTTTTCGGGAACTGTCTGACGCCCGGCGTAGGAGGAGGCGCACACGGAAGTTGGGGCAATGTTCCGCATCTTGAGCCCCCAGGCACAGACATTTAAGGCTGAATCTCTACAAAGTTTCAGCCATGTAGTTAGCCTCACATCAGCGCCAACTCCCGGGCAGCCTCATCGTCAAATCCCGAGGTTTTTTATCAGAGCACAGGTGGGGCCGCTTCCCTCCAAGGGGTTGCGCCCGAGCACTATACACGGCCCCTGTGAACAAAAGGCCTCCGGAAGCAGCAGCGGATTGCTGCTGCACCCTGAAACAACTTGCACCTGAAGCTCGCACCTTTATCACGCCGGAGCAGGTCATCCATGGCAGCTTGAGCCAAAACTCTTGAGACTCTTGAAGCCCCTGGCATTATCAAACACGGAAGGCCTTGTTGAAGGGGCCAGACAGGCAAAGCCCCTCCGGCAGCTGATGTCAAAGTTGGGGCTGCAGGAGTTTGCGGAATTGTGCCGTTCACGTTCAGGTATGAGATGAGCTCGGCTGCTAAGGTCAGCACCTGGCAGTATACATGGCGAACTCAAAGAGTCAATCGAAAGCCAATGCTGTAACACTCTCAAGGCACGATCATAAGAACTGAAACACGGCAATCACTGCAGAAGCACGGGTGCCAAAGGATGGACGAGAATGCTGTCGTACAACTAAAGAAGCCTCGAAAGTGAAGCCAAATGATCGCGAAAGCCGCATTGCTAACGCATTTGGCAACAGTGAGCTCCTGACCGCTCAGACTTAAACCAGCCTCCGCCACCTCAGCCCGAATGGCGACATCTGTTGCTCCGGCGATTTTCGTTTCCAACCCTTCTGCAGTTTACGTGCCGCCGATGCCACGTCGTTTCTGTGCGATTTCCTCCTAAGATAGTCAGTACATGCGCACATACTTTTACGATGTGCTATGTCATTTTATGTGTACCAATTGCAAAGAATTTCAAGTTGTTACAGTTGTGTGCTGTTGGAAAGCTAATGTTTAGTTAGTAGACACCATTCATCGAGTAGCGCCTACTGCATCCTATCCGTGACTCCTTATCGTCCGTTCATTTCTTTAAACTGTGACTGCTGCGTTGTTGCGAGTATGACCATGGTACACCATGAGGGTGGCAAAGGATTAACATGATGACGACGCGGATGAGGATGATGATGAAGAATGAAGAAGAAAAGGAAAATGAAGATGATGACGATGATGCAGGACAAAAATCGACAACAACAACGAGTATTATCATGACGGAACCCCTTTGAGCCTTAGAGCATGATGTTAGAGTACTGTTACTTACATGACCTCCAGGATTGCCTTTGCTATCAGTATTTCCGTCGGTTTGGGGAAAGCGTCTGCAACTCGCATGAGGTTTCTGCATGGAGTTAAGAGCTTGTCCTGATGCAACAAACGAAACGATTGCTGGTGTTGTTCTGAAAACCGCTGCTACGAAACCTTGTTGTGTCCTGTAGTCTTTAGTCGGTGTCATTTGACTTCAAGCTCCTAGACCTAGACTGGACATGACGATTTTGGGTGCAGGCTGCCTTTAATCTTGTGGCACGTCATCAGTTTTGGGGTGTGGTACCGAGTTGCAACCAGGATGCATAAATAGCGGCAAGCCGCGCCTGTCTTCTCACAGAGAAGAGTTGCCCCCCGGAATTGCCCTAAATTACCTCAAACCCTTCCGGAAGGTGTTTGGTAGGAAGACCATGTGGAGTAGTAGACCCAAACTTAAGCTTTCCAAGGCGAGGCACCGGCGGTTTTTCAACACCCGGGGCTCGAAGAACTTTGAGCCACCCGGGCGTTAGCCTTTTGACCTCTTGAGTTTGCCATGTCGCGCAGGTGCCAGAGAAGCGGGACCGACCGAGATAATGTTGGGGAGATTCCGAGTTAAATAGAGGAAGGGTCATATGGCACGAAACCGTTGAGACGCGCCGCTGGCTACCGCAAGAAGCAGCAGTATAGCTGCGGATTTCAGAGCATCCAGGAGTGATTCCTCAACAACGGAGGCCCCTGGACGGTTTCAAGAACCGACACTTTCAAGGGGCTTCTTGTAGTCCATGAACAACTGCAACTACAAGTACGCGCTATAGTGGTAGTACCGAAAACTACTATACTGGATCGCAATCGCAACGAGCAATTACTGTAGGAATTCTAGGGCGGGGGGTTGGGGTGTTCCCCACCAAACCTGCAGGAAGGTGTTCCTCGTACGAGAGGGTGCAGCCACCATGTTTCGATCTCATGGCCTCATCGAGGGCCACGTCAGAAAGCCAACTTCGCGCGTTCCTCGAACCTCTGTCTGAAGCTACTCGTAGGCTGTCGTCTAACGGCCAGTCAGGGACCCTCGATCCCATACTTCTTGCAAAGCTTTCGGGTTTTGGGAGTTGTTGGCAGCTGCAAGTCTTGTAAGAAGCTCAATTGAACTTGGGGGATGCCCAAGAGATTTCCCGGAAGATACATGTAGGGTTCATATGCGTTTTCGGGCTTGAGCGAAGACAACTCCGAGAGCACCGAAGCAACGATACTGAGGTACATGAAACAGGGGCTTAAGACGTGCGGCAGTTGCAGAGCGTTGGAGGAGGTTCCGGAGAAGCTGCAAAATGTCCGCTGCCGTGCTTGGGCAGTGAGCGCTTGGCCCTGTCAGGATGTCATGTGCGAGATAGATCAATGCATCTTCGGCCAGCTCATAGTTGTAGTTATTGCCCTGCACTCACTTCCTTATGCGACGCAGTCCCCGGAGGATTTAGGTGAATCTCGATGCCAAGACTCCTGCAGACTCATATACAACCACTACGGGCTCCAGTACTTGGAGCTGCGCGTTGGGGCTCACGGAGCGAGTGTAACACGCACCCTCCCTTGTGCCACAAGCGGGGAAAACAAGGATGCGTGCTTGAAAAAAGGGGTGTCAATTTTCATGGCTGTAAGTTGCTCCATAAACTATCCTCTTCCCTTGGGGGTTGGAGCACCCAGTTGCTTAAACTCTGAGTCCGGCGATCCCAGAAACGAAAGCGGTTGAGTTGGGTTGAGCAGATGTCATATCCTCTGGGCAGCATCTTACGCTGCGGGCACCCGGTTCGCACTCACTCTTGCAGAGAGCTCCGGATGATGCAAAGTATGGCTCGCCAGCACAAAACTTGAGGACTTCTGCATCGTCCCGGATCAACTGGAACTTCTTGCTCAACTGGTCCCTAGTTTGAGATGACTAGCCATCCCTAGTTTGGTCTACCCTGTCTGCTTTTCCGCCCTAACAGTCCCCAACACTGTCTAGCAAGGACAGGGGCAGCATCTTTCCATCTCACCTGGAGCTCAAGCCCACCCAGAAATCGTGAAGCAGTTGAGAACTGTACGACCACTGAACGGTACGCAAGAGACTCTGCATGAGCCGGGAGAGCCTCGACAGCGCAGTGCTCATGCAAGGCTCCAGGCTCCAGGATGCCTAGGACAAGGGCCCTTGAACTCCGTCAGATGTCGGCTCTTGCCCGAGAAGCACCACAAAATCCCCAAGCGTCCATCCAATCCTAGATTCCATTCGCACTTTCAGGTCTTTACTATGTTTTGGTATCACCCGGCGCCTGCGGAGGTCTTCAAGGCAAGAGAGCATCCTGCTGTTCTTGTGGTGCCAAAGCATAGAGGGGCCTGGTTCTGCCTGATCTTTGGATTTAGAGCTTCATATAGCTTCCAAAGAAACCTTACTTGCGGGAGTCGATGCAGAAGGTCCCAGGTGCCTACAACGCATAGGCGCCCCCCTAGGACAGCCAAATGTCAACGGCTCTCTGTCGGAGTTTTGGCAGAAACTCCGACGTCCCAGCAGCACTTGAGGCATCTGCCAGGTCCCCAATTCCTGATCCTGAAGACCTCGAACTCCGTACAAGACCGCAACTAAGACCCCAGGCCCCTAGGCACCTCAGTTCTGAGGGCTTCAGTTCCCCCATCCTAAAAACCACGCTCGCCTGCCAGGGCAGCTTCACGGGAACCGCAGATCCCGAGTGCCCCTGCCTCCCTTGTGTTGCTATCCGCTTTCAGCTCGGGCTTGAGGAATTACTTGGGATTTCGGCCTTCTCCAACTTGGAAGATTTCGTGATAGAACTCTTTGGGGTTCCCGAAGTTATTGAGAGTACGAAGCTCACTTACAGCTTGTCTAGCTCGTCAGGCACGTGTTGGTAGTTGGCAATATGGTTCCATGTTCCAATATATTTGTAGTAGCACGAAAACTCCCAACACCCTAGCGGCTTAGGTCCTGAACAAGGAGACTCCGCATACTCGAGAAACCCACAACAGCACCACAAACTGGAGTTGCAAAGCTACCTGCAATCCCGGATGTTTGTTGATCGCCGATCGTTTAGCTTGTAGACAAAATCGGGATCAGGAGGCACGGCCTGAGGCCTAAATTTGAACGCAAGCCCAGGAACTCACTGGTGATTCGATTTGTCAAGTTAAGGGAACACCCCCCCTCATGTCCCTAGTGTTCGAGGTCCTGGATGAAGCGCATGTTGTGTAAGGCAGAGCAAATTCGAACACGTTAGCCTGCAATGAGCAGGTACCTGAAGCTCATCTCTGCCAACATTGGAGCTGTGGTCCTTGCGTACTTATCTGGGGAGAACCGTATGCTCCAGCTTTACACGGTTTCAGGTGCATGTCCTGCCAGATCTCAGACCCTCCCGTTGCTCGCAACTAGACGCTTCGGCCACGTCCCGTCCATTGGCGTTCGGAGCATACCCCCACCACGAGGACACATCGTGCCTGAATCCCTAGCAGCCCTAGCATTTCGACGACTACCTGCATTGACTTTCCTTGCAGCCTCGCCTCGGAATCTGCATCATGGCTATCCAAACTCTTCGTTTTCTGTAATGCTTCCCCCTGCCATAATCACGTTATCGTTGCCCCCTCTGTTCCCCATCGCTGCATCGGTTCAGAGGCTAGCAGCTTGATGCGCGGTAGGTCGGAAAGCGGCTGATCCAAAACCCTACAAAGCAGAGAATTGGCAGGTGATCATGCCCTGGATGATTTACTTCCAGCAGTCTGCCGTCGTCGCTCGCCGCCGCTGCCTTGTGAAGAGATTGCTACCGAGCTCAGTACGTGGCCCGCAGGATATCCCACCCCAGAGGCGTTTGTTTGAGGTGTTTATGTCTTGCGGTGTTTGTTCTCTGGATCCTCAGTGCTTCAGCCCTGATCTATCTGAAGACATAGAAGGACTGCGACAAGTAGTGAGGTCTCAGTGTGCCAATGGGCCAAAAAGAAGGTAGAGCAGCCAATTGCCCAGGCACCCTCAAAACTCCCCGAGCCTGAACCCTGTACTTCATGGCCCTACCCTAAAACCCCCTAAAGAGCCTTGCCTTGTGTCGTTTCTTGTGGACCTTTGTCTTTGTGTGTGTCTGGGTGCAAGGATGTTCGAGTTCGACTTGGGCTTTGCAACGAAAACTTCAGAAAGCTTTTCTCGGATTTGAGGATGGATTGGTGATGCGGGTTGGAGAGTAGGCCGGCTGCCCCTGATCTTGTAGAAGCTTTCAGTCAGTTCCAGGCTTCATGTGGGGCCCGTTTCTAATTCACCGCTGGAAATGCCGGAAGCCTCCGAGCCTGGAGTGGCTGAGGGATGACAACCGGCCGCGAGCTGAGCGAGGCGGCCTGGCACAACTCTTCGCTTCGCTCATGTCGCTGGTTTGTTCAAAACGCTTAAGTAAAAGACGCAGAAGGTTCAACAGAGCATGTGCTATCCGTGTTTGGGATCAATTCCTATTATTGTGGCACGTTCTGACCCCAAACCAGTACCTCGAGAGCCTAATACCCTTCAATGAAGTAAGATCGAATATACCTTGATGAAGGTTATAGGGTTCTCTGTGTTGATTCAACGGTTATTTCCCCCTTGTGGGGCATTGGGTGTTTCATGCGAGCTCCTCGAAGACTCCGCAGCAAGGAGGATAACCCTGTCTGCATTCCTTGAACCCTGCTGTCTTACGAAACTTTGCGGCCGCTCGAGCAAATTCCCCCCTGCAGGAACGCACGGGCACGCTGATCGGCAGTTTCCTGACCCAATTGAATCTCGGCCAAAGCATCGGGATGGTTTGAGCCCCTGTCCGCCCGTAAGCCGTGAACACCGAAAGCCTGTCCCCACTGATCCATGTCAGGAGACTCTTCGCCCAAGGAACCTGAAGAAACAGTGGTCTAGAAAGCCAAGCCTGCTTAATGACTTTGACAAGGAAAAGGCCCCAGGAGCACCGCCAGCCGTACAAATGTCGCCATCGAGAGCCTCCTGTCCCTCTGCTCCCCCGCTCCCTTGGACCTTGACCTACGACCTACGAGACTCCTACCGCCTTTGGATGAAATTCCCGCAGTTGCTGCTAGCGGCGCACGGGCCGTGAGCCCCGATGATGTGTTGCCTTCATTGGAGTAAGCAGCATTGCATCATAGCCTTTCCATTTGCACCGCCATTCCTCAGACCCGAGGATCATGATCGGAGCGCCCGGGAGCCCAGAGATGCATCGGGCGCTTGGGATCTGCGAAGAATGCTGCGGCTACTGGCAATTGAGTCTGCAACCCCGCTTGAATCACGACCCTCCTATCAGTGCAAGGGCTACCATGTGTAAATTTCCAAGGGTTCAGGCGAGTCGGCAGCTCAGGGTTGTGGGTGTAGGGCTGAGGCTGCTGGGCATAGGGAGGGTGCCAAGATGGGCCATAATTTGCCATCAAAACCAAAATTTGTTGCAGCTGAAGACTTCCGGATCAATTACAAATCAGTTTCATCGTGAGTCTCCGAATCCCTAAACTCGCGCAGCCCAGCAGGGCTTGATGTTCAGAGTTTCCCAAAAGCTCACGTTCAAACAGTGGTGGGCCTTCCAAGCCAACGAGCGAGAACGCACCAACCCAATCTTGGGAGCAGAGCCCCGAGACTCTCGAACCCTAAAGCGTGGAACCGTATAGGCTGGTGACGCTGGCGGCGGCGCACTCCGTCAGCCGTGACCTCCGCAGTACCCAGGCCGGGAGACTTCTAGGACAGGACTGCAGATGGTCACAACCTCGCAGAACTATCGGAAGATGCGAAAACTCCCGGGGCTGACCAGCATTTTTGCGCAAGACCTGAAGAAGTTTTCCCGCTGCCCCGCCGCCACGATGCGAGCCATGCAAGCTGCTGTCCTGCTTCTAGCTGCGTGGCACCATCTTCCGACCTTATATTTTCTTGTCGCAAAGCCAAGCCGAGGTTGGGACGCTGGCGTCGGCTGACCCCTGCCCTCCCAATGCAG